CCCCTCCTCCTTTGAATGGCATTTTTCCCCCCTTTCTAATCTCCTACACCTGGAGCATAGCAATCACTTGGTTTTGACATATAGAAACCTCTTCAAAATCTGTCCTCTGCTGACTGAGATTTTTAGCCGTGTATTTTTTAACTAGCTGCAGGTGTTTATAATTCACTTCTAAGCAGATCATTCAGACCTTGACAGACTCTAATCACCATTTAGTCAATTGATCACCACCCGGAACTTCATTTACTTAATCTTTTTTTTTCTTGCTTTTTTGATGAAGCAGTCGGGGTTAGGTGACTTGCCCAGGGTCACACAGCTAGTGTTTGAGGTTGGATTTGAACTCGGGTCCTCTTGACTCCAAGGCCAGAGCTCTATCTACTGGGCCACCGAGCTGCCCCCATTTACTTAATCGTGAAGACTCCATAGTGCCCACCACACCCTCACTCTCCTATCCCACCTGTCACCAGTTTGCCCACTCACCCACACCCTCTACCATTTCACTGTACCTACCAGTTTATTCCATTTGCCTCTTCTCTTGTCAGCTGCCTTGTCTGTGAGTCTTCCGAAGGGACATACTACTCTTGCTCCTCCTTTAATTTTAATCTCACAGAAACTGTAGGAGCATCTAGACCTAGAGCTTGTCATCTTTCAAATTTCCCCCAATTTGTCCTCCATTTCTCCTCCCCAAATTCAGCTCTTTTCAAATCCCTCCAAATCACCTAGACAATTTCCTTCATCTTTTAAAGCACAAGACCTTCCCTCTTCTCTATTCCTCATTCCGTAGACTTTTCCTACAGAGAGCAAAATGAAAGTGAAACAAAAAATTATTTTCTTGAAAAATGTTCCCCATTTGGCTTCTAAACGGCATATTCTCGTAAAGATCTGTAGTTCTCATTTCTCCAGCTCATTGCTCTCCCCTTAGCACAGGACTCCAGGGAATCCTCTAAAATAAAGTCTAGGTCTGGCACCTTGCTAAAATTTCCTAAACATGGGCAAAGAGTCCTCTGCTACACATGCAACTCGGTGTACAATATGGGTGTCAGGCATTTATTTCCTCCACAGTAGACTATGTGTAAAACACAAAGAACTCACTAGAATACATGAACAAATTCAGTAACGTAAATCCAAATAATAACACATTAAATTGTTCAGGCTCTCCACTTCCCTGGAAGGGAAAGAGAATTTATGGAACTGCTGAGCAAAAAGGCACCTTTTTTCCCCAAACCTTGCACCCTCTGAGCAATTCACAGCAAAATCACAGAGGGTTGGCAGGGCCCAGATCTCCTCATGGCATGGCTTTGGCCTTCAGCTATAGCACAGTGCTCTGAGAAGTAGATTGTTAAGGAAATCTCCCTGTGAGAGGCCAGTGCCCTATTCTTAAAGTCAGGGAGTCTAGATCTCTTGGGAAATCTAGAACTCGGGAACCCTTAAACTCACAATTGTCCATGAGATAACCTCTAAGGCCAGGAACATTCATTTTCATAATTTCTGTCCCTGTCCTATGCTCAGAAAAGGAAATAAGGGTGAAGGCATTTAGGATCTAGAGGTCCAGAAATTCCCCTCTGAGTCTCACCTGGATCAGGAGAGGACAATTGCTATTGTGCATGTCCAGCAGGTCCCTATTTTCTGCTCCTTTATTCCTGGTCCCACCCTCCCAGGCTATATTCCAGTCTGGAAGCCCAAGGGAGAGAAAACATAGGACAAGTGTGAAGAAAGGGGACAGTTACTCCAATACGAGTCCGTCCTTCTGAACATCAGTCTGCAAATCAAGAGCTAAGCACGGTTATTAGGAACCAAGAAGTCCTCTCAGTAGGGGGCTAGGACATGTGTCTACCTCTATTACCTCTATGAAGGGTGCCCGACTCACAAAGGTACACACCTTGTAATCTCATCAAGTTCATTGGGGGATTCATTAATGAGGGACTCCCCTGATTATCCCCTGATGACTCCGGTAACAGGGATTTCCTAAGTTGTAACAACATAGTGCCCAATCCCCTGTGCTATGTGTTTGGGAATAAAGTCAGGCATAGGAGAAGCCACAGGCAATGGCATGAGAAAAGTCACGGTGACAGAAAATGGAGACTAAAAGGATGTCAGGTCATCTAGTTTGGCTAAAGTATGTAGTAGAGGGGTGGGGTGGTTATGAGATAATGTTAGGAAGAAGATGGTTCCAGGTTATACAGCTTCAGCCCCTACCTTTGCATTGGTGCTTCCTCATGCCAGGGATGCTTTTTCTACTCACCTTTGCCCGTTAGTTTCCCTGGCTTCCTTCAAGACTCAGCTCATAGCTCACCTTCTGGAGTAGTCTCCCCCCCACCTCTCGCTTCCCATGCATACATTCTTAACCCATTTGGTGTACTATGCTGCTTTGGCAGCTGGTGAAGCCTATGGACTGTTTCTCAGAATGGTGGTTCTAAATGCATAAAATAAAATACAGTCATCAAAGAAATCAATTGCATTGAAATACAATTATCAAAATATTTCAAAAACAAGGTGACAGACCCCTTATCTTAGATTCTGAGATGACCTTCTTGTACGTATCCAGTTATTTATAGACACGTTGTCTGCCCTGTTATAGCATGAGCCCCTTGAGAGCAGAAACTGTGATTTTGCTTTTTTTTTTTTTAATCTCTAGTGCTTAACACTGTACCTGGCACATGGTAAGCATTTAAGGAAGGGTTTGTTGGGGTTTTTTGTTTGTTTTTTACTGGCTTGCTGTCATGTTAGTCAACATGCCTTACTGACCAAGATTGCCATCTTGACAAAGGTGGAGGTGAGGGGAGCTATGGCCAACTGTACCAACTGTATCCTTTTGCCGAATATCTTTTCCAAGGTTTAATGATCTACCCATGTCTTGTTTCATACCAGTCCTGAGCCTGGTTGGATTGAGTCAGGCCTGATCTTTCACCACCAGGGAACTTGGGAGGTTGAAGAACCAGTTTAAATAACAACCAGATGAGTCACCAGAACAAAGCCTTGGAGATCTGACAAAAGGCTTACTCTTGCCAAGCTAGTTAAATCAGTTAGAGGACCCAGAAGGGGACCGTCTTTTATTCCTTTTTAGGTGTCTAAGATAGGGAGTTGTTTATACCTGGCCCAATTATGATGAGTTCTCTTTTCAGCCAGTTTCCTGATGGGGATCACTAAGGGAGGGAGTGAAATTCCTGAAAGAGATGGGTTTGCTGGACTGGCTTTACTCCTAGCTTTTCAGACTTTATAACCAGTGGGAGCAATTAGATTCCACTTGCTGGGTGGAGCCCTGCTAGGATGGTCAGGGCTTAACCCCGGGCCTGCCCCACCACACCACCGCATAGGCGTGGGCAGACAACTGTGAAATTGGAGCTGGAGATTGGGGCAGCAGCTGCAGCCGCTATAGGGATGAGGTACAGTTCCCATCATCACACTTAGTAGGCAGTGAGTGAAGGCACCCTCTCTTATAAGGAGGATCTCTGGGCATGGCTCCTGAAACCTGGGGATGATAAGGAGGTCAATGGCCAATCTACAGGGGTGCTAATAAAGTTGTACCGTATCATGCAGGATCAGGGGCCGTGTAGGGGCCCCTGCAAGCATATCGCATCCATTCTAAGGCCTCAACTCCACCTGGTGGTCCAAAGCTATGCAAGTCTTCTATCTAGTCTCAAGGAACTTCTGGGATGAATGTCCCTAAGGTGAAGCTTGAAGTTCTAGTGTGGTTCAGGCCATTCTAATTGGAGGGGAGTGTAAGATGGAGACATGAGGTCATATGTCCAAGTCACACTGACCTGAAAAAAAGGAGGCTCACCAAATATATAGAAGGGCATCCAGAACACCAGAAGCCAAGTGATTAGACCAGAGGACCCCCAATGGGTCTGTCAGGGTTTGGGAGACAGACCACTGAGGTAATAAGTATCCTTGCTCAGGTGAAGGAGAATGGAAGCCCCCTGTCAGAGATCAAAAGTGACCAAAGAGACCCAGGTTTGATCAGGCTCTTTGGGCACCTGAGGTCTGGAAATGGATCAAATGAAGAACTTGTGGTCCATTTAACAATTAACAGAAAGAGATTCCTGAGCCCCAGCAGGGGAAAGCCATCCAAAGCAAGGCAAGAGTGTTTGTTGAGGATACAGTTGGGTCAGTTGGGTTCCACTTTCTAGCCCGACTGCTAATTGGTTGTGATGTTGATCACACACAAAAAGTTGTTACTTACACCAGGCACTTAGGGCAACTTCTATGCCAGTTTTTGTGGGCAGGGCCAAATAGAAACCTTTGGATCAAGTCATTCCATGTAGTAGACACCAAGTAATACACATCCCTGGAGGAGTGAAAACTTTCCACTCTGGTGATGGAAGTGAAGGAGGTTCCTCTCATAATAGCCCCACATAATAATAGCCAGTGAAGAAGGAAGACAGCCTATGACAGCTTATGGTGAACTATATTAAGTCATCATGCCAGTTACTGGGGCCATTCCTGACCCAGCAAGTAGAAGTGATCCGCCAGGGGCAGTGACATCCTGGCCTCTCGGGCCAGTATGGAACAGGCAGCGGCAGTGCAGAGTGGAAACTTGTGCTCCATCTAACAGTTAACAAAAGGAGTGGAAAGCGTCCAGGGCACCGCCTGTGGGTACCTCAGGAAGCACCAGCAGCTGGCAGCAGCAGAAATAGACATCAGTAAAGTGGGTAGACCTCACAAAGTGGGCAGTGTTCTAAAGAAGCAGTGGGTGCCCCTTAAGGATGGGTGCCATCGCAGGAAGCAGGGCAGGTGCACCTAACCCCGCCATGTTGCTGCCAATATAGTCCCTAGTGGTCAAGCCCACGAGTCCTTTCCACCCTTAGGTAGATGAGGAGATGCAATATGGACTACCATTGGAATGGACTCTGGAAATAATTGCTTTGTTATTATGCCCTTGGCTATTGGGGTTGGACGTCCCACAGCCCAGAAACCATGTCCACAGTGAGTTAGTGACCCAGTAGGAAAGGGGTGGGCTCTCTGGGAAAAGTTTCTTGGATTCAGACTGCAAGAAAACTTACCTGTCCAGGATGAGTTGCTTTTTGACCATATCCCTTCCTTGTTTCATCCTGTATTTGAAGTCAGCCCCAGCTTTGAAGTCCATGGCCCCTCCAAGGACTCCATGCATGCCAGGGAAGTGATTCGGGTCATTGGGCCTATGTTTCTGGGGCTGCCGGCTGCCGGTGCCCTGGATGCTTCGCACTCTGTCAGGACTTGCACCGCCACCATCCGCTCCACTCTGGCCTGAAAGACCAGGCTGTCGCTGTCCCCGGCAGATTACATCAGGAATGGGGCCCCAATCATCGGCATGATGACTTCATTTAGCTCACCATAAGCTCGATTGGCAGAGCTCCTTCCCCATGGGGTGATTCAGAAGATTCTTTTCCAGGGAGGCCTCAGGGGATCCAAGGGGTGGAATTGTTGGGAGGCACCTTGCTTTGTTGCCAAAATGTAATTGGGAAATATTTAACAAAATGAAAATGCAATGAAACTTAGGTAATACTACATTTCAAACAATGAACCAATAAACATCCTTTAAGCACCTACCATTTGCCAGGCTGGGGGTAGACAAAGGCAAAAAGCAGCTCTTACCTTCCAGGAGCTTACAGTCTTTAAAAACTAAGTCAAGCGATGATTAACTTTGATAGACTTAGCCCTTCTCAGCAATGCAAGGATCTAAGACATCTCCAAAAGTCTCATGATGGAAAATGCTATCCACATCCAAAGAAAGAATTATGGAATTTGAATACAGATTGAAGCATACTATTTGCTATTTTTTTCCCTTCTGTTTTGTTTCCTCGTTCTTATGGTTCCTTCTATTCGTTCTAATTCTTCCTTACAATATGACTAATGTGAAAATATGTTTAATAGGATTATATATGTATAGCCTATATCAGATTGCACACTGTCTTGGGGAGGAAAGGGGAGAAAAATTTTAAACTCAAAAGCTTATAGAAATGATTGTTGATAAATCAAAATTAATTAATAAAAAAAGAAAAAAGAAAAACGAAGCCAATCTGTGCACCTGGGAATCCTTATGTATGTTTTTACTTTGTACTTGACACCACCACTCTAAAGGAACAAAGATCTGTCATCACTCCTTAGGGAGGGAATGTAGCGGAGACAAGCCTCAGAATCATCCCAGGCCCCAGAACTAGATGCACACAAGGGGGTTATGTCCTCTTAGGTCCCTTACTAGAGATGACCCTGACCCATAAGGGAGACCAGTGGCTGCAGAAGTGTGCCCCGATGCTCCTTGTCGTAGCAACCAGTGTGACACTGAGTGAGCCGCTGTGAATTGCCTCTGATTCCCCTCCCCCATTCTCCCACCCCCCCCCACCCCCCCAAACAAACACAAACAAGTAAGATTATTACATGCTTAGTCCTTTCAGAGAGGGAGGGGAAACCTTGGTCCTGGCTGTCTTTTTTTGGAGTTTTCTTCTCTACCTACCTTAAGCTTCCCACACCTCCTAGGTCGAGGTTGTCTAGTACAGGTAGTTAAAAGCCCTAAGGCCATTTAAGTGGTCTAAGGCCCTTATAACAACAGTATCCAATTCAAATAGTAATGGGGCCACGGATGCTATATAAGGACCCATGCAGACTACATATTGACTTAGTTTTAAACTATAATGTTCTCTCTGCTTTATTTTTTTTTATTTTGTTAAATATTTCCAAATTACATTTTAATCTGGTTCGGGTCTTGTAGACCACCATGTTTTGATATCTCCACCCTACAAGACCTTTAGGACTTTGCCAGTTAGGGGTGGAATGTAGTAGGAGCAACATTTAATCTGGGTGGTACCCATGGGAATAAGACAGGAAGATCCTAGTTTTTCCCTGAAAAGACAATGAAATCATTTCCCAGACTTAATTGGTCCAGGAAACTAAAGTTTGAACCACTGAACCACTGACAGAGCTTTCTGGTCACCTAAAGAATAAAGCTCAGCATGTGAGCAGTTGGTACTCCTCAGGCCTGACAGACATCGCATTGCTGTGAAAATCAAAATGCTGCTCCCTCTCTCTTCTTTTAAGCTTAGGAATAGTTGATTTCTTTAGAGAGATCAATAATACTATCTATGTTAGAAGATTTTGTTAAGGCACTCCCATTTCTGTTAAAGACACAAGCCCTCTAACGTGACCACCAAGAAATGGACTTCGTGTTGCTGCAATTACTGCTGAATTCAAGATACCTTTTGACCTGTGTCCTGTTGTGACAAGTATGGAGGCCAAGAGAACTACACCCAAATGAATAAATGCTGTATCTTTGCTGATTATTGTCTCCATGCTTCCACTGAACAAATTTCCTTTTGTTATAAAACAGTCTGCAGCTGTCTCATTTCTCTCCAAACCGGAGCTGGACCACCAGACCAGCCTGAATCAGGCCCAACCCCAAGCAACTCCCATGGTTTCATTGATCATCCTTAAGGAGATGGCTCCTACATCTATATATCCGGCTCTAGTCACTCTCTTGATCTGCATAACTGACGAATTTATGCATTTCCAATCAGATGTCCTTTAGGTATCTTAACCTTAATATTTTTTTTTAATAATTTTTTTCTTTTTTTTAAAGGCAGTTGGGGTTAAATGACTTGCCCAGGGTCACACAGCTAGTAAGTGTCAAGTGTTTGATCTGAGACCAGATTTGAACTCAGATACTCCTGACTTCAGGGCCAGTGCTCTTATCCAGTGCACCACCTAGCTGCCCCCTTAATATATTTAAGATAGAAGTCATTATCTTCCTCTACAAGAGGCAGATGGGTGGCAAAATGCATAGTGCACTGGGCCTTGAGTCAGAAAGACCCAAGTTCAAATTCATCCCCAGACATTTACAAGCTGTGTGACCCTGGGCAAGTCACTTAAACTCTGCCTCAGTTCCTTCAACTGTAAAATGGGGATAATAAAAGCACCTGGCTCCCAGGGCTGTGTTGAGGACCAAATGAGATGATAATTAGAATTCAGCCCAGCGTCTGGCATGTAGCAGGCAGTGTTCCCATTCCCTGTACAAATACAGTGTCTACCTCCCTAACTTCCTCGTTTCTGTTGAGGGTATCACCACCCTTCCAGTCATTCAGGTATGCGACCTCAGAGGTAGTCTCTACCCTTTAATGTCCCTCAGTCCCAATGCCAATCAATTACCAAGCTTTGTCAATTCCCCCTTTATATCTCTCTCGTTAATATCCTTTTCTCCATTCACATGCCCTCTGCTCTGGTTCAGGCCCCAATCACCTTTCACCTTGTCTATTGCAAGAGTCTCTGAATTGGCCTCCCTGCCTCCATTTTCTCCCCTCTTCAATCCATCGTCCATGTGGCTGGCAAGTTGTCCTTCCCCTGCTCAAGGAACATCATTTCCTTTCTATTGCCTTTGAGATAAATTAGGGGCCCTTTTGTTTGGCCTCTCAAGCCCTTTGTAATGTGGCCCCTACCCTTCTTTTCCAGGGCCTTAATCCACCTCACCCTCTTGAGTTCGGCCAAACTGGCCTTTTTCCTCTCCTTACACTCAACATTCCATCTCCTTTCTTCAGGCTTTTGCCTAGGCTGGAATCCATTCCTTCTTTGCCTCCACTTCTGAGAATTCCTGGCTTCCTTCAGGGATCAGTTTTAAGTGCCTCAGCCCAAACAAGACCTAGCCCAATGAGCTCAATGGTCAATGGATTTCCTTCCCCCTGAAATTATTTCACGTAGCCTTTGTATATGTTTCGAATTTGGTTATACATGTTGTTTGCACCCAGTAGAATATAAGCTCCTTGAGGACAGGAAGAGTTTAATTTTTGTTCTTGTATTCTTAGAAAGAGCTTAATAAATTATTGTTGAATAAATGAAATGCCATTGTGGAAGCCAGGGAATCATAGACATATAGATTGGGAAAAGTGGGCATTGAAGTTGGGAGGGTGAATGAGGTTGTCAGTGGAATGACTTTAGAAAGAGAAGAGGGCTGTGGCCAGGGCATTGCAAATGGCCTAGGTTACCAGGGCAGAGGTGGTGAGAAGAAGAAGAGGAAGCAGAGACGGAGCAGGAAGCAGAAGGAAAAGTTGACCCCTAGTGATAAATTCTGTACAGTCATTAAGAACAAGAAATGAAGACTATCTCCTGCTGCCTTGATACAACCACTTTCCATTCAGAACACAGCAGTAGCTTGTGAGAACTTTCCCTATCCAGAACTTAGCTGGAGGAACAAGAAAGGAGTGAATAGCCCCACACACCCCAACCTAAAACTAGGCAGTCACACTTCATTCTTGAGTACAACAGTGGTGTAAACTCTCGCTCCTTCTGCTCACCCCCAGCTTGGCCTCAGACTCCTGAGTCTGACTTTTCCTTAAATACCGTTGAGGATCAGTTTGAGCAAACATTGTCTGGATACTCACTTACATGGAAGATGACTAGGGCTACGAGGACATGTAGAAACTTATGCTGGTATGTCTTAGTCTGTCTTGCATGATTTTTGAAAGTGCATAGAAAGGGATGGTAAGTATTTTGAAAATCTCTCTTCCTTAGCACCATGAAATATCATGATTTTCAGTACAAATGAATGTGTTAAATTTATTGACTGTCTCATGTACTATGACATTACTGAAGTGCTTGTTATTAACACATCCCTGCAAGGGCAGTCTGGGATCACACATAGACCGCATCTCCCAGTGCCGAGTGGAAGTCCCTTCTTAAGGTGCTATGACTAGGCATGTCACCCGGTAGCAATGCAAGCTGGAGCTATACGAATTCACTCACTGGATTTACCCAAATATACCTGGCTCTCCCTGCCTTGAGTGACTACCTCACATATTCTGTGTATGTGCAGATAATTCCAGCTGCCCCAACTTTTATATATTCCTCGGTGCTTTCTTGGGCACTCTGTTTAAAGCCTAGGGCAAAAGTTCTTCATCTGGAGTCCACGTATGTATATTTCAAGAGGTCCATGAATATGGATGAGGGGAAAATTACATCTTTATTTCAATATAATTGGTTGGCATTTTTAAAAAATCTTATGTATTTTATTGTATGCATTTAAAGACATTGATCATTCTGAGACAGAGACCATATGTTTTACCATACTGCCAAAGGGAGTAACACATGAAAAATGTTAAAAACCCATGGTCCAAGGAAAAGGATATTTCAAAAATAGCTCATAAATTTCTCACAGGTCACTGTTTCCACCAACTGGATCCCAATCTCTTGGGATCTCTTAGGTCTTTCTCAGAATGGACCCAAAGAACTCACTCAGCACATAGAATAAAATGTGTTTACTATACACAACAAAGTAAAATGTAAAAACAGTAAGGTCCAGGGGCAGCTAGGTGGCACAGT